GGGAAGCTTAGATCTGAATTCACTGTGAATAAAAGTGGTCATAGATATTTTACATTTGTGGCGAGAATTTCAACCAGCTCCTCATCACTTTTTAATAAAAATTCTTTGCATCATGTTAACCATTAAAAAGTGTGTACTACTTAGCTCAGTTCTTCTCAGGTTCATGGGATCATCTGTGTTCATGAGAAAATCGGTGAGTAGAATCACGATTAAAGCGAGCGAGCGCCTGCCTGTCGCTGTCGTGCTCGTTTCCTGTCTGGTGCGTATTTTCACACTGCCGTGAGCCCCTCGCCTACCCCCCGCCACCCCTTCTGCAGAGCACCTCCCAGCTACACGGCGTTGAGGCGCTCGCTCTACCTGGTGCAGTTTAACAGGAAACACCTATCAGGAGCCCGCCCTGGGTTAAGTGCTAGTGTCACCGGTTAATCACCTGGACCAGCCTGAGGAGCCTGTTTTCTCCATGTTGTCCACGTGAATGGCTTCTACTGAAAACTACCCTCTGTCTGTCAGAACCGGCCTTGCAGAAAGCACTCCTGACCTTTCTGTTGCCAAATCCAGGGCGCAGTTTCCTCGCCTGACCTTACTGTAGACCCTGTTCACCATACCCTGCTTAGTACCGTTTATTTCCTGGGCTCCTGTGACTCCATTCTTCTGTAATTTGCCCGCATCTCCCTGCCGACTCTTCGTTATTTCGCAGCTTTCTAATCTTTGCGTCACCTATACCCACTCCTCTCACCGCCGTATCATGTACTGTGTGATCCCATTCTTTTCCCCTGCCCCTGTCCTTTTTAAGACTGCCAAGTCAGGGTCTTGAGCCCAGACCTTGCTCTTGACACGACCTGTTGCCCGGTCCATTGATGATTTGTTGTAGGCCATCACTGAGTAACGTCTCCCCTAGCCCAGCGTTTTCCCTCTTGTGTTTTCTGTTAGTGAAGAGCGTCACCGCCAATCAGCACAGGTGCCTGGGGCACTTCCGCCCTTCACATCCTGTCCCCAAGCCCTGTTGCATTTCCTGCATTTCTCAAAACTGTCTCCTTCCACTTGCTGTCCTCACTCTGACACATCAACACTTACCACTTCTAACCAGCATCTTGGCCTCTTGGTCACCTACTCTGGCCTCCTCTTCAAGCCATTATTACTAGACAGAGTTTCCTAAAGTAAAATCTGAGCACCAACACCCCTCTTCCTAAAATCAGCACACGTGCTCCTTGTCCTGTTTAGTTCAGGAGCCATTTCTAATCAGACT